TCTATTCATTTGTCTCCCAGGTCTGTCACTGCTGGTGTCCGCCCTTTTCCGCTGGCGATGCAACATGTCTATTCATGTGTCTCCCAGGTCTGTCACGCCCCTGGCCATGTAGCATTTCTATTCATCTGTCTCCCAGGTCTGTCACTGCTGGCGTCCGCCCTTGTAGCAATTCTATTCATTTGTCTCCCAGTCGCTGCTGGTGTCCGCCCTTTTCCGTTGGCCATGTAGCATTTCTGTTCATTTGTCTCCGAGATGTGTCACTGCTGGTGTCCGCCCTTTTCCGCTGGCGATGCAACATTTCTATTCATTCCCCAAGCAGTTTGCCGTTACGTAGGGTTTCTCAATTCTTTCTTAAGATGTGTCCGCCCATTTTTCTGCTGGCCATGCAGCATTTCAATTCGTTTGTCTTTAAAATGATTTCTTTACTTTTGTCTCCCAGGTTCGGTGCGTGCACTGCTGGTGTCCGCCCTTTTCCGCTGGCCATGCAGCATTTCTATTAATTTGTTTCCCATGTGGTTTGTTTACTTTTGTTTTCCAGGTTCGGTGCCTGCACTGCTGGCATCCGCCCTTTTCCCCTTTCCAGCATTTCTATTCATTTGTCTCCCAGGTGATTTCTGTACTTCCCCAAACAGCCTTCCGTCTTGCTGCCCACAGCGTGTCCGCCTTCCGTCCGGCTTGTCTCCCTTGGGCTCCCTTCTTGTTGGTCACTGCGTCCCCCTCTTGTTGGTCACTGTGTCCGCCTGGTCTCCCTTCTGTTTCCTTTTGTCTCCCTTCTTGTTGGTCACTGTGTCCGCCTTGTCTCCCTTCATTCTTTCTTTGTCTGCGGTCTTGTCTTCCTTCTTGTGGGTCATTGTGTCCGGGAGGTTCTGAACTTTGACTTTCTTTGCAGTCCACCCAATAACTCTTCCCAGTGTGTGCGCGCATGCTCTCATATTGTGCTCTCATGTGAGTGCTGGCATGCCAAATGAGAACAACAAACAAGGAACAATGGCAGCACGATGACTAAAGAGCCAGGCAACCGATAGAAAAACATTTGGCTTGAAAAGGTTGTTCAAGGGCTTCGGAAGAATTACTGCAGATTTCCTAGTGCTGGAGGGGGGTGGGGGGGAGGGCGCAGCACCTCCCCCAAGCGAAGCAAAAGACAAAACCCAACTTGTGGCTGAGACATTTAAAACCAATTTGCAATCCCGACATTTGCACCATGTTCGTGGAACTCGCAGAATAGACTTAAAAAGGCTCATTGCGTTGCATTTTTTGCAAAACGCACAAGACAAATGAAGACAATCAATGGTATTTTAGATTGATCGTGCACTTGAAGGAACAAGAGACCGAGAAGTAACAAAAGAACCCACGGAACAGGGGCAACAGAACAGGGAACCAGCACACCAATGAATTAGGATTTTTGTCGATCCTGTTTTTTGATCTACTTGCCAAGTGCTTCCTTGGAGAAAACGTTGAGGAAGATTGAGCTCATTACAGCTTGCTGCGTGTCACGGGATCGCGCCTTCCTCGCACTGGCTGAAAAATGCACCAGCGAAGCGCGCATCTCTGTCTATGACTTGAGGTGCTTGCTGTAGTTGGCGTGGTTGCTTGTTGATTGATGTGGGGAGGGACTTTTCCAAGTTGGATTCCTTGGCCCCTTCCAATGGGAAAAAACACGTCTGACTCTTGCGTTTTGATTTACTGCGCCAGGTCGGGCAATTCTGCGCCAATGAAGTGCCTCAAGCCTTTGGGCACTGCAGCAGGAAGATTGTTGTCATTGGCCTTCTCTGCTCCGGTGGAGGGTGCCATGCCTCGGTATTTGCTCGCTTCCACCAGTGGAGCAGAATCAGCGTTGGTCTTGATGAATTGGGAGTCTTGGTTTCAGGCTGCAGGCTTAAGGCAACCGTGTAGGTGCAAAGAGGCACACTGGTAGGCTTCCACATCGTGCTTCACCTACTGGGCAGTTTTGTTTCTAATTTTTTCCTCTTGTGTTCATACCGCGTTTCCTTCCATTGGCGCTGAGGAAGGAGAGAAAACGCTTTGCAAATGCAAGTTGCCCGGGCAAGTGGATCGTGTGAGTTTTCCCTCCCAACCTGAGAGCCTGCAGGTCGGGGTGGCCAAGAAGGCAGTTGTTGGACGTCTCTGAGTCTCTGCACCTTACGTAGCTGGAATGCCTGACCTACACCATCACACCAACCTTGTAACACTTGTATGCTGGTCCTACTTCTACTGAACCACCTGTCCTACTCCTTGCAGTGCTTTCTAAGCAAGTGCATTCGGGAGTGGGCTAGCAAGCTAGAAGAACCCCCCAGCAGGTTCTGGTCGATCCTGCTTAGGCCACGGCCTCTGGGCCCAACATGTTGCGGCTCATGCAGATCCGGCAGGCCAAAAAATGAAGTTTCATTAAGGCGAGGTGGGGGAGAATGAGAGAGAGAGAGGGCGAGGTAGAGTCAGGTCGAGGGACCCGAGGGAGGGAGCTCACACTTTGTGTGACTGGAAGGTCAATGGCAACTCTCAATGGACGAACGCCTCGTTCAGTGAACTTGCTGCCCAGGATGATGCCTGCATTCAGCAAATTGCCAGAAGAGAAGATTGTGGATCATACATGGCTGGAAGGCAACCGGCTGGTTGTGATTCAGGAGGCTCAGGTTCATATCATAAGTGCGGAGGAGCTTCAGGTGGTGAGAACCATCGAGACACTTTGCAGCAAGGCACTTTACTCAAGGACTGAAGCAGAACCAAAACTGATTAACAATGAAACTCCATTGAGGGAAAGTCTTCCTATCGCTCATATTGAATCATTTAGGCCTCCTTGATCTTTCACATCCTTGGACATAGTTTCTTTCCTCTGGCCACAGAAGTCACAGTACAACTGTTAACTGTTCACGCTTTGGTTGGTCAGAGAGGTTCCTCAGATGAAAGTAGTGTTGTTTCTGCAGTTGGAGAGGTTTCCTCTTCGTTTTCTTTCCGATTTCGGGTCAAAACTGCTTGGCCGCTCTGAGCCAAGGGCCCCTTTTGGTGATGCAGATTTGGACGAGGTCATGCCCTTATGCCTCTCGGTCACTGTGCGTTCAGGGTGGCGCATCAATGCAAGTGTAGACAGCACGATTGAATGATTTGCATCGATGTATTCCACTGTGTGATGGTTAAGTCCGATCACCCTGCATGCTCCTGGCCTTGGTATATTTTTGCAATAAATATATGATAAACGCTTTCGTGAGTTAAAACGAAACGCCAAACGCGCCTGCTTTTATGCAGTGTTTCGGCTGCAGCTTGCTGCCGGATGGACCACCGTTCCCGGGAGTGCACTTGCGCTGCGTGCACTGCCCTGGGAAAGGTCGCGTCGGTGGTGGTGGACGAGGCTACCACCGAGCCTTTGAGGACCTACGTTGCCAAGGTCCTTGAGAAGGCTTACACCAGGATCCTTGAGAAGGGCCTGGAACTCCTTCAGCGAGAGCATCGTGCTGGAGGAGGAGAGGAATCGGGAGCTGGCTGCCACCCAGCTCCTGGTGTCGAGGTTGAGAATAAGGAGGTGAAGAGTGAGGCCGAGGAGGAGGCCCCTAAGAAGAGGAAGAGGAGAAAGAGAAGGACCGCCACTACACCAGAGATTGCCACTGAGGAGAAAGACGAGCAAGAGAGGGACACCCAAGACCACCAGCTACCCAAACCTGAGACTGCCGAGGACACTGCTGAAGAGAAAAGGATTGTTGAGGATAAGAAAGTGACACTTGCCCCGGTGGTCACCCCTGCTGTGGAGGGTGCTGGTTCTTCATCGAGGAAGCCGACTACACCAGAGCAGGGTACAGAGGGCAAGAAGCCCATTGGTGAGCAGGACCCTCGACTTCCCCTTCCTCGAAAAGTTGCAAAGCCCAGTGCAAAGCCGCCTGAACCCCTGAAGGAAAAGAAAAGCCGAGAAGGCTCCACCGGAAAGTCGGGTGCGAGCCGCCCATTGAACCTCAGGCCAAAAGCAAAAGTTGAGCGAAAGAGGTCAACCAGTCGGTCGAGGGAGCGAGATCAGAAGGACAAGAAGAAGCGAAGAAGCACGAGCCCTTATTTGGACAGTCCTGGGGGAGGCCGAGAAGTCTCCTCGTTTGGCCGAGAAGGAGAAGGTGAAGGTGCGACGTTGATTGAAGCTCCTCCTGGAAATTGGGAGGACTGTTCATTGAGGACTCGCAGGCCAAAGTCACCTGATCATCCACCGCCTCTTCCCCGCCGACCAACTCGGGGACAGCTGTGGATCGGCCCGATTCGAGCCTACAAGAACAGGCCTGTCACCAAGAAGAAGAACAAGAGGTTGAAGAAGGAGCTCAAGAACGAGCGCTACTGGGAACGGCGGCGCCAGCGGCTGTGGGAAGAGAGGACTCGCGGCTACCGGAGGCGCTAGCCTAGGTGATAGAGGCGTCCTGCTGCTGCTGTGGTCCGGAGAGGGGTGCTTCGCCGACCAGCAGCGGCTCCAGTTGCGGCAGGCAGAGGATGGCTGAAATCGGGAGAGGTCGATACGGACACTCTCCTGGGGTGGCCCTGGGCGTACATACAGGGGCGCTTCTGGGACGAGGACGTGGAGCTCATCGGCAAGGTCTTGGAGGTGAAGATGAAGGACAGCGGGCGAGAACTGACTATGACAGCTTCAGGTACTCCAACCGAGAGCTTGTTGAAGGCCCTGACCGGGATCCCCTCCCGACAGCTGAGAGTGCACCTATGTGGGGATCCCTGCGAAGCACTGGTGTGGGACGAGGCCTATGTGCATTGCAGTCAGCTACAGGAGGCTCAACGAGCAGAGATTGGTTGGAGCCAGAATTTGGAGGCAGCCGGAGGAAGAGAAGAGGAGGACGAGTTGCATCAGCTCCGGAAGTCAGTAGAGGAGTTGAGAGGCAAAGGAAAAGGAGTTGGAGGACCGGTGACAAAGGAGAGGAAGAGGTCAAGGTCTCCTGGAACTTCGGGAGACGAGGAGGCAAAAAAGAAGAAGAAGAGGAGGAAGAAGGACGCCTTGAAGATCCAGGGCAAAAAGGGATTGGAGAGCCTCTTCTCATCCACGGGGCTGGACCCAAAGCCCGAGATCCGGCGGAGGGTCAAAAGAAAGGCACGCAAGGTGGCTCGGAGGAGCCGAAACAAAAAGAGGGGCAGCAGCTCTTCAGGGTCGGAGAGTTCATCCAGCTCGAGCCGAGAGAGTGTGGGCGTGGAGGACAAGGACCTTTTCGAGCCGGCGACGCCCACGCAGAGGGTTTGGAAGGTTTGCCCGGGAGCCCTCACCATGGCTATGATCGCAGAGGCCAAGGAGGCTTTGTTGACGCAAATGGGGACGGCATCCGAGCCAATGGAAGGAGCGGTTCCTGCCCAGATCCTCATGCCGTCAATGAGCGGGCCAGTAGCCCGGGAATCCCATCACTGGGGATTGCTGCTGGATCTCCTGCTGAGCGGCCAAGTGGCTGCTGCGGCCGACCTGGCGGCTCAGCGATTGAAGGCCCTAGAGGGTCATGCCAAGGGCATGAAGCCGGAACTACTTCGACAGTTGGAGCTAGTCGCCCAAGAGAAGCCATCGCTCGCCAGTACAACAGAGATCATGAAAGCTGGCCGCCAGGCCAACGAAGAGGTGAAAGTACTACAAAAAGCAAGCTCCAGGGACACCTCCGAGAAGGGCAAAGGGCAATGGCGAGACTGGAAAGACCGATTCGAGAAGGGAGAGAAGAGCGGCAAGTTCGACAAGGGCAAAAAAGGAAAGAGCGAGGGGAAGAAGAAGGCAGCCTAGATGGTCAGAGGGTGCATGGTGGCAATGGTGGTCCTACATACAGTGGCTTGGCGGGTGACTATGTGGGGGAGCTGCCGTGTGGCAAGGCGGCTCCTCGTGCAGTGGAGATGATGCAGGTCGCTCCTGGGGTAGGGTGGTCTCCTGGTGGCAGGGAGATTCACCAACTACAAGGGAGTAGCGTTTTTACAGAGCTGGGGACGAGCCCTATGACCTCAGCGGACGAGTTTCACGAATTCAATCCAAAAGTGGTTTTTGAGCAGCTGCACCAAACTCCGTCGGCGGGACTTCACTCAGGAGACACTGCCACGATATTTGGAAAGCAAACGCTGCCAGCAACGCCGACAAGGACAATGAGCGAGTTATGCAAGAGCGCCTTGGGCACCATGATCAATGACAAACAGATGCGCTCCAACATGGGTGGGGAAAAAGAAGAACGGCAAGACTTCATGCCCCTACCTGTGCCCCAGGCGGATGTGGTTGTGGCAGCGGCCGTGGCAGCTATCAACCATCTGGGAGGCTGGAAGACCCAGCCTCCTAGCATTGAGGACTCCTCGCACTCGCAGAGCCTTGCGGTAAAAAACTTGAGCGATCTTGTTCACAGACATGGCGTGTGGAAGGTGGATGAAGTATCTATTAATTTTGAGGATTTCTTTAAGAGAAAGTCCGTTGATTACCTGGGTGAAGAGGTGAAGGTTGGTATGACTATGAACTGGAGGGCCATTCAGGACTCCTTCCCCCAAGAGGTCGGCTGTCTCGATCTTCAGCGTTTTTGTCGCCTTGGCACGTTGGAGTATGTCGTAAACTTTGAGAGCTTTCTCTTTCCCCCACAGGACTGGAAGTACACTAAACCCCCAAGGGTCATGGTGGAAAAGGATGGTTGGTGGGAGCTTTGTCATGGACTTATTGATCGAAAAGTTTGTGACGTGATGCCCATTGACCAGCTTTGTCATGTACAAGGCAAACCACTTCTGAACGGCATGTTTGCAGTGGGCAAGGGGGAGTTTAAGGACGGTCTGGAGACACAACGGCTGATCATGAATTTGATCCCTGTGAATACTCTATGTAAATCCCTGGCCGGAGATATTAGCACACTCCCGGGCATTGCGGGATTGTCGGGTTTCCTCCTCGATGCGGGGGAGGTGGTACTACTGAGCAGCGAAGATATCCGGTGTTTCTTTTACCTGTTCAGTGTGCCAGACCAGTGGAAGCGCTACCTTGGCTTCAACAAGGAGGTTCCCCCCGACCTAGTCCCACAACAATATGGAGGCCGTGCTTGTGTCTTGGTGGCTAGGGTGTTGCCCATGGGCTTCCTTAATAGTGTGTCCATTGCACAGCATGTTCACAGGAATGTAGTGAAGTGGGCCGAGATGGCTGGCATAGGCGGGGAGCATGAGATGCGAAAGGATAGGGCCATGAGTTCAGGCAGCCAACTGTATCGTATTTACCTTGACAATTTTGATCTCCTTGAGAAGACTGAGAGTCGCTTAGCGGACAAGATCAAGGGTGGTGTCGCAGATGCTGTTGTCCGGCTGCGTGACATGTATGATTGCATGGGATTGCCGCGTCACCCCAAAAAGTCTGTTCAGAGAGCTCTTCAAGGTGAGGTGCAAGGTGCGATGCTCGATGGTGAGGCCGGGTTTGCAATACCAAAGCCAGAAAAAGTGCAGGTATACTGTAAGCTTGCTGACGAACTGATCAGGCGGGGTCAATGCACCTTGAGGGAACTACAAGTTGTCTGTGGGGGTTTCATCTACATCTGTATGTTCCGACGGGCCCTGTTGTGCGGCCTGAACGAGGTCTTTGTCCACATGCAGAGGTTTGCAGGAGAGGCACCAGTGGTTCGTTTGCAATTGCCATGGGAGGTGAAGGTGGAACTGTCCAGGTTCATTGCTTTGGCCCCGCTTGCACAGATGGACTTCCGGGTCCCCCTTGACGGTGTAGCTACTTGTTCGGATGCCTCAACGCAGGGAGGAGGTGCTTGCTCTTCCACAGGTCTCACCGACTATGGGCGGGCCGCCTTGAATGCTCAGGTGAGAGGTGATGTACCCGAGCCGGAGGATTTGGTCCAGGTTCTGTCGGTAGGTTTATTCGACGGTATAGGAGCCCTGCGGGTGGCCTGTGACGTGTTGGGGCTTCCCATGGCCGGCCATGTGAGCATCGAAAAGGACCCAAAGGGGCATCGTGTAGTTGAGAGTTTCTTCCCTGAGACTGACTTTTTCGATGACGTCGTGGAATTTGGGGCAGAGCAAGTTGCGACCTTAGCTTTGAAATACAGCAATGTCGGCGTTGTGCTTGTGGGCGCAGGCCCCCCGTGTCAAGGAGTCAGTGGGCTCAACGCAGACCGTAAGGGAGCCGTCCGAGATGAGCGAAGCTCATTGTTTGTCCATGTACCCCGTATCTGTGAGCTGTTGCGCCAAGGGTTTCCTTGGGCCCAAGTCCATGAATTGGTCGAGAATGTGGCTTCCATGAGTCCAGAGGATCGGGCGTTGATGAGCCGCACTTTTGGGCGGCTTCCTCATAAGATTGACTCAAAGGGAATCTGCTTGTGCTCTCGTCCTAGGCTGTATTGGGTCAGTTGGGCCCTGGCGGAGGAGCCGGGGGTCTCTTGCGTAGGTGAACAGGAAGAGGGTTGGAAAGACTTTGACACGATCCACCTCCAGGCTGACGTGGACAGTGGCGCTTTTTTGCAGCAGGGATGGAGCCTTCGCGAAGGGTGTTCACTTCCTACCTTTACGACCTCACGGCCGCGAGATACTCCAGGACGGTGACCCGCGGGACTGGATTCTTGCGCAGAACATGAGCTGCAACGGTGGAGAGACGATTCCTACAGGTTCCCCCCATACCAGTACAAAGACACCCATGGCCTGTGGAGCAAGAAACGTGTCTGGCGTAGACCCACTGTACAGGAGCGTGAGTTAATCATGGGGTTCCCTCTTGATTATACCAGGAACTGCGTAGTCAAAGCTGAACAGAAGGGGGCCAGCTATGACGATGCCCGCTTGAGTCTCCTAGGCAACTCCTGCCAATTGGGAGTTGTGGCGTGGCTTATCATGCAGGTTATGGTTCCTCTAGGACTGTGCAAGAAGCGGTCTCTCCAAGAGCTGGTCAATGAGTTTACCCCTGGGAAAGGGTCCAACTTCTACCACGCCAAAAGTCACCCTCTAGTCCTGACACCGTTGCCCTCTTTCGAAAGCTGTTAGGTATGACCACATCCAAAGGTGAAGATCTCATGGTTCATGCCGGCAGTGACCCTCTACCCCGACATGCCCGTCTTAGAGCAAGTGTACCAGGGCGACTTTGGAGATGGAAAGAAACTAGCGGCTGGAAGTGGAAGCATGAAGGTGATCACATCAACCTCCTGGAGTTGCGTGCTATCTTAACTACTGTTCGGTGGAAGATTCTCAGAGGGAAGCGTCTACGGGTTCGTTTTCTACATCTCACCGATAGCTTAGTATGCTTGCACGCATTGACCAGAGGACGAAGCTCTAGCCGAAAACTCCGAAAGACGATCCAACGGTTGAATGCCTATCTCATCGCAGCTGACCTTCACCCCCTCTGGGGGTACATTCATACGTCTCAAAACCCCGCTGACCGTCCGAGTCGGCGGCCCATGTGTCGAAAATGGGCAAAGTAGGCAAGAGAGTGCTAGAAGGTCAGACATGTGAGGATAGGCAAAAGGCAAGACGAAAGTTAGGATCGTTGAAGTCGTTGACGGTGTCGGAAAAGACTCGAGCCAGGTATGACACTGCTACATCAAAGTTCGCCCAATGGCTGAAGGACAATGACTTGACCTTACCCCGCAAAAGAGACCAGCTTGACGGGCTCCTCGCTGAATTTGTGGAATATCTGTGGTCAGAGGGCTTTGGTCGAGCTCAAGCTTGTGATACACTCGCTGGGCTACAGGATCGAGATCCAAAGCTGAAAGGACACCTGCAGTTGTCCTGGAGGTTGATGCGTACTTGGAGTACAAATGAGATCCCTAATAGGGCACCCCCCTTACCACAAGATGCAGTTCTGGCCATGGTTGGCTGGGCCTTTTTTCACGGACATTTCAGCTTCGGGGTCTCATTGCTAGTGGGGTTCTATGCTATGCTACGAACGGGGGAGCTATTACACCTCAAAAATTCGCACATCTATATGACGGGTCCCAAGACCCCGGCCGTCATCTCGTTAGGTTGGACTAAGGGAGGAAAGCGCGTTGGAGCCGCAGAAAGTGTGACTCTTTCCAGCGCGGACGCACTGAAGTGGCTGTGGATTTGGAAGACAGGGCATAAACCTCATGCCAGCCTTTGCCCCACAAACGCTGCATGGCGCAAGCTCTTTGCCGCATGTCTCACTGCCCTGTCCCTTGATGTGTTCCAATTCCGCCCATACAGTCTTCGACGGGGCAGCGCCACGTTTTGGTTCTCCAAACACGGCAATCTGGATAAACTCATGATTGCTGGACGTTGGCAAGCCGTTCGAACGGCAAGGGTGTATATCAACGAAGGCCTCGCAGTGCTCGCAGAACTTCACCTACCCAGGAACAAGCTAAAACCTTTCACCACTGTGTTTCACTCCGGGGTTAGACCTCAACACTTGAGCGCGAACAAGCGCAGAAAACAGGGGGACGTGGAAAGGGCAGTTGGGACTGTTTTTTTTTCGTTATTTTTAAACAGAATACATCGGCCTAGGGCTCTCGG